GAGGGACCCAGAAGACAGTCTGCGTTTGAAGGCATATATAGTTAGATGGCACAGTGGATATATCAATATAGGCCTGAAGTCAGGAAGTCTCATCCTGTTTTGCCTCAGTTTCCTTATATGGAAAATGAGGAAACCACATTAGTATCTTTGCCAAGAAACCCCCAAATGGGTTCACAAAGAGTCGGACATGACTGGAAACAGCTGAACAATAACAACAACAAAATACCTAGCCCAACTCTGGACAGAGATAGGGTAGAGAGGGGCCTTTGTAGGACTCAGTTTCCTCATTTGTAAAATTCCACATCTTCTGACTTGAAGACCAATGGGTGCTTTTACCACTATATCTCATTTAAGACATCAAGATACTTTCTCTGAGGGAAGTTATATTAGATTGTAAGCTCTTTGATAGTGGGGCCTATGTATGGTGCTTTGCTTATTATTTTTTAAATAGAATTCACCAGTTCATCAATGTAGGAAGGTCTTGATGAGGAACCTCTTTACCAATGCAGATCAGCACCTTTTCTACAACTAATAACTTTATCAAACTGCCTCAGGGGCCACTGAAAGGTTAGATGAGTTACCTAGGGTTGCAGTATGTGTCAAAAAACGGATTTGAACCCAGGTCTAACAGACTCAAGTCTGTCTCTCTAAGCACTATCCCATGGTGCTTCCCATGCCTTGTACCCAGTGACTGTTTAATAAATGTTCGGTGAATTCAGTTCCAAGGGCATAATGGGTTTTTCTGATTTGCAGGAGAATCATAGAGTTAGGGCAGCTAGATGTACAGTGGGTTCAGCGCTGGGCCTGCAGTCAGGAAGACTCATCTTTGTGAATTCAATTCCAGCCTCAGAGACTTACTAGTTGTGTGACCCTGGGCAAATCACTTAACCCTGTTTGCCTCAGTTTCCTCATCTGTACAATGAGCTGTAGGAAGAAATGGCAAATTACTCCACTATCTTTGCCAAGAACATCCCAAAATAGGATCACAAAGAGTTGGGCACAATTGAAACAACTGAACAACAACATAGTGGTTAGAACTGAAAGGGAGCTTAGACTTTATTCCATTCCCCTCATTTTACAGATGAGGAAACTGAGGCTCAGAGAGGAAAGTCACTTGCCAAAGGTCACTCACATTGTTAGTAAGTAGCAGAGCCAGGATTTAAATCCAAGTCTTGCAACTCCAAGATCTGTGCTCTGCCCTCAGTGACATCATGCTGACCCTCAGCTTCAGTTTTTCTGAGACATACTATTCCTTGATTCACATTCATACAACATCTCCAGAAGAGTATTAAAATGAAAAAGATGGACCTTTCAAGGAAAAACTTGAGTCATTAAAATAACTTTGCAGTTTTCCAAAGGTTAAACAATGTTCCCTCCTCTTCTTTTTGAGGCAGCATGGGTTCAAATGCTTTCTCTAATGTGCTTACTACATCTTGAGCAAGTGACCTTGAGCAAGTAAATGGGGGGGGGGCTTAGTTTCTTCATCTGTAGAATGAATAAATAGACTAAGTGAAGTCTCTTGCAATGCTAGTTCTATGATACTGCTTAATTCTAGACTGAAATATATCTATATTTCTCTTTCTATGTGAAATTGATGAGTTCTGTAGGCTTATCCATGCTGCTTGTATATCACATAAGCATTCTGGGCAATAGGCTCATTCACTTGGATGTTCCTGTGCAGAGAGGTAGGTCCAAGTCTTTTTAACTATGATGGATCTCAATGTTTCAGAGCTCAAGACAATCATCACAATGTTATCCACAAAGAGGAACACTGGGAGGACTCCACTATCAATAATCTGTCTTCAACCTTGGACTCTGTTCTGGATTTCCTCCAATCCAACAGTGAACATCTTTTGTTAGCTTGCACCTACTTGTGTTGTGTCACTCCTTCTTTTAATAATCAGAGGATCATTGAACAAGGTTATCTCTGTTGTTACATCTGTCAAGTAATACTAGTATGATTTTAACATATGCATGGAAGACATCTGGTTGGAGGAGAACCTTTAAAGAGATGTTTTGATTTATCAAATAAAACAAACAATAACCATTATTTGGGATATTGTATTCTTTACAACTTTCAATTATTTATATGACAGCAAACATGTGGTCTTGCCAGAAATTTTGCTTGATAAAACCTGTCTATTCCTTTCTAATATCTTCTTCTATAAGAATGCACTTGACTTATGTATGGATTATTCTCATAAAAGTTTTATAGAGCAGGGAAAATGGGCAAATGGATTGGGAATTATTGGTGTTCTCTTAATTGTTTGAGTGAGGGATAGAAATAATGTGAGAGATTTCCCCTCTCCCATTTTTGGTGTCTTTTTCTCTTTCAGATACCTTGAAATTCAATCCCTTAATGCCCTGATGATAAAACTTCCAAGCACAGAAGTCCTTCATATTTGCCTGTCTTCATCCGGCTGCTCTTTCCATCTTTTTTCTTCAAAGTTATTTCTATGTCCTCTAGAAGCACATCTGGGACTGTCAAGTTGGCATCCACGTGATGTGGCTCCACATTCCTTCACACTGTAGTTTGTTATGAGATTCTTTGCAGATGTTTTCCATATTTCATTTATTTCTTATCCTCCTTCGGGTTTCATCCTTAAATGCCCTCAGATGACTTTGCCTAGCTAACTTTCACCAATTTTCTTTAACTAGCCTTTCCCTCTATTTCTTCTTCTTCTTCCTCCTCTGCTTCTTCTTCTTCTTCTTCTTCTTCTTCTTCTTCTTCTTCTTCTTCTTTCTCCTCCTCCTCCTCCTTCTTTTCTTTCCCCAGCGTCACACAGTTATTAAGTGTCTGAGGGAATTTGAACTCAGGTCCTCCTGACTCCCCAACTGGAGCTCTATTTACTGTGCCATTTAGCTGCCCCTCCCTCTAGTATTTCTGGTTATTTTATAATGCTTTTTTTTGGGAGGTGGAGGTCCAGTGATTTTGATGTAGAAAACTTTCAATGAGGAAACTTACTCTATTAATAAATATCACCTACTATTCTTCAGTTTAGAGTGTTAGAGAATTGTCTATAGCATTGAGAAGTTAAGTGACTTTTAGGGTCAAACAGATAGCCCTTGTCAGAGGTGAGATTTGAACACAGGCAATTGTAACTTCAAGACCAGATCTCTATCCGTTATTAATCACTGCCACTATCAATCATGGCAACACTGCTCATAACCTTCTACCATTCTTAGACTGTACAAATGAGTTTATGGTCTAAGCCAGTGTTGTCCTTGATTGTCACATCTTTTCACTTGGCAAATTGTCCAAAACCAAGGCAGTTTTTAGGCTCTTTTGGCCTCTTGTCATGTCAATTGGTTAAACATTAGTTAAACTTCTGTATGAAATTGTTGTATTCAGTATAGATGCACCGTGGTTAGAGTGCTAGACTTAGAGTCAGGAAGCACTGAGTTTGAACCCTTTCTCAGGTCCTTTCTACCTGTGTGACCCTGGGCAAGTCTCTTATCTTTTTAACCACAGTTTTCTCATCTGTAAAATTGGGATAAAAATAGCACTTACCTCCCAGAGTTGTGAGGATCAAATGAGATAATAATTATATAAAGCACTTTGCAAATCTTAAATAGTTATATGAATGCTAGCTATGACTCATCATGTCCAATGGATGTCAATGTCAATGAACCATGTCTGATTGATTTCTTTCTTTTTTTTTTTTTTTTTAGGCAGTTGGGGTTAAGTGACTTGCCCAGGGTCACACAGCTAGTGAGTGTCAAGTGTTTGGTCTGAGGCCGGATTTGAACTCGGGTCCTCCTGATTTCAGGGCCGGCGCTCTAACCACTGTGCCACCTAGCTATCCTTGGGTTTTTATAGACACTTTGCTCCCCACTCATCAACTTCACAGTTGCCAGCTTTGAAAGACATTTCCAGATATCTTCTAGCTACGACCCCTAGACTTGAACCCAAATGAAATGACTTGGCACAGTAAGGATGTCCTTGTTAAAGGGAAGGAGACTTGTGCTCCAGACCAGTACTGCAGGTTCCTGCCTTTTGCTTCCAGGAGTCGCTATTGTAGCTGTTCCATGGTGGGTGGGTGAGGAGAGGGAATTCAGAAGAAGGGCTAAGATGCTTGGTGGCTGAGATGACTGGCCAGGAGATAGTACAACGTCCAGACTAATTTAACTAGAAGCCTGGGAGAAGGGACACTGTTAAGGGATACTGAGAAAAATTCTCAGGTCCAAGATTGGCAACTGTCCCAAGCACTTGTGCCCATTGCTATCAGTTTGACAGAGCATCAGCTCTTAGAGTGTAGTGGTCGGCAACTATAAATCTTTAGCCTTGATCAAGTCAATGTTAGATAAACAGACCTTGAAAGGGGCAAATCAAAAGAGAAAGAGCACCAGCCCTCCCCATTCACCCGCTTCTCTCTAAGACATTCTTTCCCCTTGAGAGCTAAGCCCTAGAAAAGACAGGACAAATTGTTCCTTCCGCTCTCCCCACCTCCTCCACTCTTCAGCCCTATGATCACTATCCAGTTCCTGCCAGGAGGGTGTAGAATGGGGAAGGGGGGGGACACCACGGGGGAAAGCCCAGACTATTGCCTCTGCCAGCACAGGTATGGTGCCATCTGGCTCCCTCCCCCCCTCTTTGTGGGTCAGTGGCAGCTGTGATGTAGTAGAGGCAAAGGGGACTGGGATAGTAATAATTTCTGTTTCTATAGCATTTTCCATTGATCATTGTTTTGAAGAAAGTGCTTTGCAAATGTTACAGCTGTACATTGGGGGTTTTAATCTTTTTGTTGGCAGGGACCCCTTTAGCAGGCTGGAGAAGCTTATGGACCCTTTCTTAGAATCATTTTTTAAATGTATGAAGACCCACAGGGCTACATAGGAAACCAATTATATTTGAATATGATTATCAATATATTAATAAAAATTCACTGATCCTAAATTAAGAACCTTGAGATGACCTTAGGAGTTTATTATTGTTTGATGTTTAGGAGTTTATTATTATTATTAGGAATATGTTATCATTTAAAAATGCTTTCCTGACAAGAAACCCATGTAAGGTAAGTAATACAGTTATTATTATTATCCCCATTAGACCGATGATGAAATTTGGGCTCTCAGATCAGTAAAATTATTTGCCCGTGGTCACATAGCTCCTAACTCTGAGAGCCAGGAGTCAAACTCAGATCTCCTGGGTCCACATCCAGCAGTTTCAGCATCGTACTGTCCAGCTCTCACACTGCACCTAGTGGTCTTTACGTGGTACGGTATAGAACCCCCAAGTCTGAGTCCTGGCTTTGACCTGGGTGACCTTAAGCAAGTCATTTAACCTCATTTTTCTCATCTGTAAAATGAGGGAGTTGGGCTAATGACATTTATGGCCTGTCTTAGCTCTAAATTCAGGATCCTGTTGATCTCACTGGTGTGGGGAGCGGTGGGGAGTGGCTAATTGTTTGTGCTCCTGCCAAATAAAGCCATCCTAGGGGTCTCACAAAGGGATGACTAGGCCCATAGACTTGAGTATATACAACAAAATGACACATGAAGACAACACACTCTCGAGTTCTTAAGGAGTACTATTTCGGAGCTTAGAACGAACCACTCCCTGCCGAGGGTTCAACCCTGGCGGACAAGAGGGTAATAGGGGTACCTTGCCTCATGGCGTTAAGATTAGGTAGGGTCGGGGGAACGGACAAGATGTCGGAAAGATCTCTCAGCTGTAATATAGGCTTAGGTAGGCCTCTCGGTTCCGATGTATCCTGAATTCTTTGTCTGTTATCAGCTGTAAAGGAAATAATGCTGGTCAGTATCACATATTCAAAGAAACATTCCACTTCCCAATGGTCCAAGGGGACTATGTCCTCTGTCCCTAGTTCTTACAGCTACCTTGCTTGTGTCTATTCCTGGGGAATAGCTAATCACTCAAATGAAAAATTACAAACATAACTCTACATTTACATGGTCCACAATAATATTTCTCTCACTTTGAATTCCTTCAACACTTAAGGAGACGATACTTCACCACATAACAACCATTTATATGTTGTCTTAGAATTATTTTCCAATTACCAGATATTTGTACTCAGATCATAAATTCACAGACTTCTGTGTGAGTGTGTTTGGAGATCACCTAACTCACTTGACATATTTTTCTAGCAACTGGACTCTAAACTCCTTGAGGGTAGGCAAGTATTGCATATAACCTAGCATATAACTCACTTAAAAAGTCTGTTGAATGAATGAACATCTTTCTAATTCATACCTCAGTTTTTAGGGTCCTTTTCTTTAGGACTGGCACTTGAGCCCAATCTGGAGACCCAAATTTCATTGGCCAAGTGACTTTCCGGCAATGCATGGTCTCTGGATTGTAGGTTCCAGGGCTAAGGAAGCAAATTATACCATGTCTAATATTTTTGTGACCACCTATGAGAACCCATGTATTACTGCAGAACTCCCAGCACTCTGACTATTGGGGAAAACTTGACTGATTCATTTCCTGTTGGGTGGAAAGGAATAAGGGATCTTTAGGTAGATATTTCACTGAATGCTAGGATTTAAGATGCTTTGCCTTGCCTTTCCCTAGTACCAGGGTCCCCAGAACAAAACATTTCTGTGACTATTCTATACCAGGAGGTGACTGGGAAGCCACAAGATTGCAAATTCATGGCTAATGGCAGGTATTCAAGATGAAGTTGGACAGTTCTGCCTGGAAATCTACCGTGATGCAATAGGGCTCCTTAACCTGGGGCCAATAAACTTAAAAAAAATTGTTTTTCTTGTAACCCTATGTATTTTTTTTATACATTTAAAAACATTATTTTAAAAAGGAGTCTAAAAAAGAGAAGTCTAGAGTCTTCAATCAGATTGGCAAAGGGACACAAAAAAGGTTTAAGAACTGCTGGGTTTGGAAGTCCACTAATAATTAGCAATAGCACAAATTTCTTGAAGAACAGGTCTTAGGAATACCCAAGCTAGCTCTCTCCCATAAAACTATGGATGCAGTCTTTTTTTGTTTCTCATTCCTTGTTAGACATGTGTGACTATTCTAGGGAAGGTCATTTTTCATGTTTTCTCTGGGGGGATTTAAATATAGGATGAATGGCTAACTCTGACATAGTTTGACCATCCCTAGTTGGCTACTTTCCTTACTGCTGTGGTGGCATGAAAGAAAAATCAAAGATTTGACATACCCAGGGAAAAATGATGAGTCTGTGGGTCTGTCATCAAATCGATTTGAGATGGAGTTAAACGGAGCATAAGAAGGAAGATCACATTTGGACTTAATTTTCAATGAGTCGGGTGAAATTGGCTTGGGTATCATCTCCTATTTACAAGAAAATGTAGTCATTGAATATATATTTTATATATACGAAGATGGACTACTAAGGCTTTCAGTGGTGGTGCTTGGCAGTTGGGGGGGGGAAGGGAGGAGTCTGTGTAGATCTGGAGGGTAGGTCAAACTCAAGCTAAATCTGAATTAACTCTAGAGTCTCATGAGCAGTTTAGGCCCCATGGAACAGAAGAGGATTTTGAAAAGGTGGGAAAACACAATCTAAGTATCAACAAGTTTGGGAAGCAGCTCCAGCAAGGAAAGGCTAAAAGAGTGAGCCTATGGAGACAGCTGTAGCTGGGGTGGGAAGACAAGAATTCAAGTCCCTATTTTGTCCTTTTTTAGCTGTGGGACCTTGGACGAGTCATATCAGTTCTCTGAGTCTTAGTTTCTCTATCTATAAAGTATGGTCTCCTCCTCCTTCTCTTCCTTCTCCTCCTCCTTCTCCTCCTCCTCCTCCTCCTTCTTCTTCTTCGTAGCTATCCTTGTATTACCTCCCTCACAGACTTCTGAGGATCCATTGAGATAATGTATGTAAAGCGCTTTGAAAATCTAAATAATTGTTGTTCAGTCATTTCTGACTCTGTGTCCCCATGTGGGGTTTTCTTGGCAAAGACACTGGAGTGGCTTGCCATTTCTTTCTCTAGCTCATATTACAGATGAGGAAACTGAGGCAAACAGGGTTGAGTGATTTGTTCAGGGTCATACAGCTAATAAGTGTCTGAGGCCAGATTTGAACTCATGCAAATGAGTCTTCCTGATTTCAAGCCTAGTACTCTATCCATTGTGCCACTAGCTGCCCCAATCTAAACAATAATAATTTATCAATTATTTGAAAGAAGTCATTTGAAAAAAAGGAGGGAATTCCAGATGTGAAATGGAAGTAGAAGAAGGGGGAAGAAAATTATCATTTATTATGTGTTTATGGTGTTCCACAGTGCTAAGCACAGGACATACTAATGCATATAAAGACAGAGTCCCTGCCTTCGAGGAACACAAGTCCTAATGAAGGAAGATACACAAAAAGGAACTAAAAATCAAGGATGAGGGGAAAGAGTAGAGCCACAAATTTCCCACTTTGTATATTTCTGAGGAGTACTTTATATCAGTCTTCAATAAATTCAGAACCCAGGCAAGTGCTGTTTAAAATGTCCTTCAGATAGGGAAGACTCCCTCGTGGATATACACCTGAAAGCCTCAGACCAGACCGCTGGGCTGGTGATTTCAGAAGTGTGCCATCTGGTGAACATTTCAGATATTTCACTAGGTGGCTGGATAATAAAGTAAGGTAGCACATGTGCCAATTTGAGCTGTTGTTGTTCAGTTGCATCCAACTTTTTGTGACCCCATTTGGGGTTTTCTTGTCAAAGTGGTTTGCCATTTCCTTTTCCAGCTCATTTTTACAGATGAGGAAACTGAGGCAAATTGGATTAAGTGAGTTGCCCAGATTTGAGGCCAGATTTGAACTCAGGAAGATGAGTCTTCCTGACTCCAGGTGCGGCACTCTATGCACTATGGCGCCACCTAGCCACCCTCACAAGATATTACATATTTGTCTTGGTGGAAGGCAGGGGTAGTTCTTTGGAATCAACAATAATATAGAAACAAAAGAGCATCAATAAGATCTTAAAGAAAAAAAAAAAGGAAGAGTGCTGGGGTCAGAGTGTTGATTTTGAGTCCTGGCTGTGATGCTTCCTAGCTGTGTGACCCTTGGTGAATCACTAAATCTCTCTATGCTTCAGTTTGCTCGTATTAAGATGCACTTCCTACTTCACAGGGGTGTTGTTAGGCAGTCACTCGGTGAATCTGAAAGCCTATAGAAAAAGGAACTACTATTATTGTCATGATTTTACCATCACAAGGACATAGATTCAGCTATCTCATCATCAAGTGCCTTGTCCTCCCTCCCTGAAAATACAGTTCCATGGAAGAGTTTGAGACAACCTCTTCCTTTCTGTCCTCCCTTTCTCTCTCACATACATATATGTAGTCAAATCAAGTCAAGTCTAGGCACTAAACATTTATTCAGCAGCCCCTATGTGCCTGGCACTATGCTAAGTACTGGGGAGACAAAGAAAGGTACAAAGATCCCCCTCTCTCAAGGAAGTCACAGCATAGTGTAGATGCAAGGATGGATAATCTTTAAATCAAAGTATATGAAATTGTCACTAACCTTCCGACCTTCTTTAAATCGTGGGCTTGTCCTAGATCCAATGATATATCCCTTATTACTCATAGGGATCTTAGCAAGGTTGTATGCCAGGTTACTCTTCTATAAGTTTAGACATGTAAAAAGACAATGTCAGGAAGAAGTCCTACCAAGCTGCTTACCCCAGCATCAATGAATGTGGAATTATTCTGAAGTCCCTGTGTCAAAGACACCTTCCTTTCTCTCTCCTCCATTGACATTCTGATCTTTGCACACCAATGGGGAGTCATAGAAAGCAGCTGGATTTGGAATTTACTGATGAGGTTTGAAGTAAATGACTTCTCAGGTCCTTTCCAACTCTTAATATAGGATTCTAACATGTCCCAGAATTCTTATGTACATGGCAAAAATAAATTTATAAAAATTTTCAGAAGTTATTGAGGAGCAAAGATGCTGTTCAGGTCACAAAATAACTCATTCTCATTCCCTGGTCCCCCAAACCTTTAGCCTTTTGGAACCCTTCCCCAGGAATTTTTCTGGCGAAAGCTGGTCCAGCCTGCCACAAGAAAGCTACCTAACTGCCTGTATTCCGGAAATTTCGTAGATTAGATGTCTGAGAAGGCACCAAATTTGTCCCAGAAGCCTGTGGAGGAAATTTTGACTTTTCTTGAGGCTGTTGGGGGAGTGCATGAAGGGGCTCCGGGCTGCAAAGGGGAGGAAGCAATGGAATGACTGGGTTTTGGCCAGAGGCATGGAGATTCAGCATGCAATTATACCTGAGGGAGGAGGGAGCGGGTGCGCAGCCCTCCACGTCATTGAGAAGAAGGAAGTTCAGCACACAGCATTATTTGGGTATTAGCGATGTTTTAGAAAATACTCTCAAAGGTGGTAGCACACCATATCACTGGATATTGGCAGTACGAGAAGTGAGGGAGATTTAGCGCACAGAATTAATGAAGAGGAAAAACAGGGAACCGAATATGAAATATCATGGAGGGGCGGGGTGAGCACAGAATATCAGTGAGGAACCCGGGATTTCACCTCATAGGATTAATGCTGGGATTGGGGCAGGTTCGGCACACAGCATCGTTGCAAGGAGGAGGGAATTCATTAAACAAATCACTGGTGGGATATTCGTTTGGTCAGGCATGGGGCAGTTATTTTCCTGTTACACACTGGATCCCAGAGAGATGAGAAATGAGGACCACTAAACCCAACAGAGCATGATGAGGGATGGGATACTCACCTCGTCGTGGAGGTAGCATCCAGGTCCTCTGTGAGGTGCCCCCACAAGAGGCACATTCTTATTACCTATTCTGTTTGGAGGGTGGTGGATGGGGAAGATTTTCCTCGTTTGGCATGATCCAAAGCAATATTTCAGCTGGGCTTCTGAAGGTCAAGAAAGAGCAGAAATGCCCAATGCAGAGCGTGTGTGTCCCCGAAGGACCAAGAGGGTGGCTGAGTGTGGGTGTGGATTTGGCGGGTGGGGAGCGTCATTAGTGGTGCCCTCCATGTGGTAGTACCATGGCAAGCCAACTTGTGAACGTTTCCTCCATCCCCTGTCTTTCTGAACCCCAACCCCACCCGTATCCACTCCAAAAGCTGGTTGGAGGCACCCCCACTGACCTGTAAGCTGCCATTCCCAGCTCATGTCGCTAGCTATGTGTACAGTGGGTTGTCAGGGCAACAGAAACGGAGGGCGGAGGAGAGCGGAGAGCTCTGAGGCTGGAGACCTAGACTGCGTGGGAGCCCAGGTACTACAGGCGGGGCGGAGTGGGGCTGGCAGAGCAGAGGTGAAGTGGTGTGCTTAGAGATCACTCCCCAAACACGCTGAGTTGTCTTCAGCTTCTCTCTAGCCATTGGGATGATGAGGCACTTCTACTAAACTGTCTTTGTTAAATTCAGCTCCGTTGCTGAAAGTCACCAGATGTCAGGTTTGTAAAAGGTGAATGCAGTCCGATTTTTTAATTTAACCTGGAAACGCTTAACGGACGTGTGTTTTCAGCGTATCTTGGTTCTTTTTCTTTTCTTTCCTTTCCTTTTTTTTAATGCTCATACTTTTACTAAGGGAAAAGGAAACTCATTTGATTTCCTTCTTCCTAGACTCATCATTCACTCGGCTTCTGTCACCTAATGAGATGAACTTTTCCCAATGCTTGGGAAAGTGTAACTTTGACGTTCTCTATGGAAGAGGAAGGCAAGGTGGTCCTTGGGGAAAGAAACCTCCACTTTCTTCTACAGTCTTTTCTTTCTCTTCTGCTGTGTATGTGGAAATACCTATTGTATTCAGAATTTAGTAAGATCAGAACAATAATAAATGGTTGTCTTAATGTAGGAAAACAAGACAAGACAAAAGGAGGAAAGATGAAAGACAGTCAGGGAAACCCTCTTCTTGGATTCTTTGCTGGATCTCCTTCATCACAATGGGTAGATAGATCTCAGTTTGATTCCTAACCTGTTGTTTATAATCAGAGAGTCATCAGGTAGGGTTATTTCTGCCACATTTTTGGACGAATCTTTAGCTATTTTAGTACATGATTGGATGACACCCTGTTGGAAAAGAACCCACAAAGGTTTTGATCTAATAAATCGAATCCCCTCTCTTTTCTGGATGCCATTCTTTTCTGTTTCTTCTATGTGACTGCTTTTCCTCATTCTCTTTTGCTGGCTCATCATCTATGTCAAGTTCCCTAACTGTGGCTGCTCCCCAAAATTCTGTCCTAGGCTCTTTTCTCCCTCTCTCTATGCATTCATCACCTCCTATGTGTTTGGCTATCATCCATTCAGTAAACGACTCCAAAGACCTTCATATCTGACTCTCATCTCTGGAGCTTCAGGCCTCCATCATCAATGACCTATTGGACATTTCAAATTGGATGTCTTGGAGACCTCCTAGACAATTATCCAAAACTAAGCTTATTATCTTTTCTCCTAAACTCATCCTCCCTTCCTGGGGCAGCTTAGGTGAGTGTAGTGGATAGAATGCTGGGCCTGGAGTAGGAGGACCTTCAGACTCTTACTAGCTGTGTCACCCGGGGCAAGTCTCTTAACCTCAGTTTCCTCATCTGTCAAATGAGCTGGAGAAGGAAATGGCAAACCACTCTAATATCTTCGCAAAAAAAAGAAACAAAACAAAACAAAACAACACCCTAAATGACGTCCTGAAGAGCCAGGAAACGACTGATAGAAACCCTCCCTTCCAAACTTTCTTATTGCTACTGAAAGCATCCCTATCTTTCCAGTCCTCTTAGCATTATCCTTGACCCTTCACTCACTCTCACCCTAGGTAAGCAATCGGTTGCCAGATCTTGCTGCCTACCCCTACATCTCTTGCATCTGACCCTTCTTTACATTCTTACAGCCTGCAACTTTAATTTGGGTACTTGTCACCTCTCACCTAGATTACTAATTAATTACTAATTGGTAATTACTAATCCTAATTGATCTCCCTATCTCAAGTCTCTTACCTCTCCTGTCCATCCTCCATACTGCTACCATAGTAATTTTCCTTAAACACAAACCTGACCCCCTGACTCTCTTATTCTGCCAACTCCAGTGGCTTCCTATTGCTTCTAGAATACAATATAAACTCTTCTGTTTATCTCTGAAAGCCATACACAACCAGACCATAGCCTGTCTTTCCAACCTCATTGGAAGGTATTTCCCCCTCTTGCACTCTGCCTCTGTTCCTCACCTATTACCCTTTATTTCCCGTTTTCATGCTTTTGCCCTGGCCATCCCTATACCTGGCATTCTCTCCCTCCTCACCTCTAACTCATAGAGTCCATCTCTTCCATTATGACAGAGTTGAGGAACTGTCTTCTGCGTGAAGCCTTTCCCCATCCCCCACAGCTGCTGGTGCCGTCCCTCCCAAACTATCTTGTATTGAACTACTTAGGCTACATTTTTATTCACTTTGTATTTATGTTATAATGATAATAATTTTTGTTGTTATTTAGCCATTTTCAATCATGCCTGACTCTTTGTGACTCCTTCTGGGCTTCTCTTGGCAAAGATACTGGAGTAGTTTGCTATTTTACTATCTGGCTGGATAATAAAAGAAGACAGCACATGTGCTAATTTGAGCTGTTGTTGTTCAGTCATGTCCAACCTTTTGTGATCCTATTTGGGGTTTTCTTGGCAAAGACGGTGGAGTGGTTTGTCATTTCCTTTTCCAGTACCTTTTACAGATGAAGAAACTGAGGCAAGCAGAAGTTAATGGCTTGCCCAGGGTCATCCAGCTAGTAAGTGTCTGAGACCAGATATGAACTTGGGTTTTCCATCTATCACCTTATGAGCTAAGTGATCAGAGAAAGGTTTCAGATGATTAGGGAGAAGAAAGGATGAATGACTCTGGAATAGAGGATTTCTGGGTACCTTGAAATAACCACAGGGCTGAACAAGAAATGGGTTGGCATAGAACTTGGGGAGCATGGTGAAATAGTGCTTAACTTCAAGTCAAAAAACCTAGATTTGAGTTTAGATCTGCCATATACTCTGTGGCAAGTCAATGAATCCCTGAGTTTCTTCTATGTCTTCATCTGTAAATGGGAATAATAATCCTTTTGTTCCCTACCTCAGTCAACCAGCAAATTAGCATTTGTGTAGTGCCTACACTGTGCTCTAGGACCTGGGGATAGAAGGAAAAGCAAAAGATAGGTCTTTGTTCTCAAGAAGATCACTGGGTTTTTGTAAATGTAAGCTATTAATCACACCTGTGGCTTCAGGGGGGAAAAAGTGAGTTGTCCCTACCCACATATACCCCAAAGGGTCTGCCCATGGAATCTTTAACCTCTGCCCTATACTAACATTCTCACCTAAAATGTTTCTGCATCAGTTACATAAGACTGAGACCATTTGGATTTTCATTGCAGCTTTTATTGTAGGGTTATTAGTACATTATAAGCAAAGGCTATTAAGTCAGGAGAACGGGAAAAGGAAAGGAAAGTCAAGTTTATGCCCAGTTGCAGCGCTGATAGCTGGTGTCAAAGACGAGCCCAGCCTGGTCGTTCTGCTTGTAGGTTTTGCTATTCACACAGTGCCAGAAAGCATTACTGTTACTGGCCACAGGGTAGAGACCGTGGGCTTTGTCAGCACAGAATCTGCTGCCCCCAGAGTTGCTCCCACCTGAGCTACCACTTCCGCCCCTGCTGGGAGCTGATGTGCTTGGAGGAATAGATTGAGCTTAGGCGGTACAGACTGCAACATAAGAGGAGAAAATCACTGTGGACTTAACGAAGGCTCATGGCACTGGGGAAAGAGAGGTTTGAGTGTTGAATGGACAGTCAGGTTACCTGGATTTTGAATTGCAGCTCTGTAACCTTAGGAGAGCCACTTATAACCTATCTGAGCCTCAGTTTCCTGACCTGTAAAAATCACACTATCTACAAAAAAAAAATGATTGTAAGGATTGTAATGTAATTACATTACATTAAGGATTGTACTGTAATTAATGTCACCATTTTAATGGTTGTAAGGATATGGAACATATAAAAAATAAAGATAACATACTTAAAGCATCACATAAATCCTAGTTAGGTGGCATGGCTGAAGGGGATATTCACTGACTCTGGAGAAGGAGGAGCTTTGTTTGAATCCTGTCTCTGATGGTTTCTTTGTCAACTTGGGTATAGAATTTCTCTCTGCCTGTATAAAATGAAGGGGCTGAACTAAATGACTTCTAAGATCCCTTCGGACTCCTGAGTCATGATCCCATTACTATGAAAAGAAGATTATTTATGGTGTATATTAAGGCTGAGAATATTTGTAAAATAGAAACAATGGTATTTGTACTGCCTACCTCACACAAGTCATGAAAAACTAGATTTAGAGCTGGAAGGGACCAGAAAGATTATCTCGTCTGTAAATGAGACCCCTGAGGTTCAGAGATCTTAAGGGACTTGCCCAAGGTCACACAGAAAATAAGTGGTAGATTCTAGATTTCAACCCTGTTTTTATGGTACCAAATCCAGTATTCTTATCCCTTCACCATCTTGTTGTTATAAGAAAAGTGCTTTATACTTTGGGCAAGTCATGTCTACACCATATAGGAACATAGATTGAGAGTTTGAAGAGACCTAAAAAAATCTAGCTTGGAATCAGGAAAGCTCCTCTTCATGAGTTCAAATCCAGCTTTAGACACTTGTTTGTGTGACCCTGGGCAAGTCACTTGACTCTGCCTCAGTTTCCTCATCTGTAAAATGAGTTTGCAGTGGCAAACCACTCCAGTATTTTTGCCAAGAAAACCCCAAAATAGCATCACAGAGAGCTGGACACTATTGAAACGATTAAAAAATAACAAGAATTCAACTATTACAACTGCCTTGTTTTGCAGAAGAGGAAACTGAGGGCCAGGGAAGTTAAATGATTTGCTCAAGGTCAAGCATGTAGTTAAATGCTGGAGGTGGGATTTGAATACAGGACTGTTGACTGCAGAGCCAGTGTTCTTTCTCCTTGGGCCTCAATTTCTTTTTCATCTGTAACAGGAGGGGGTTGAATTAGATGATGCTGGAGGTCCCTTCCAGCTCTAGGTCTGTGTCCCCATAAATCCAACCCATGACAGTTCATCATTTTACCTTACAACTGTTCAAAGTCATCAAATCTGCCCATTTTTTTCACCTCCTCCATCACTGATTTCCACTTACACTGTAAGTTGTGTATTTGACATTACAATGCCAGGATAAGGACAGATGTGAAGATCTGATTCTCAGAAGAATGGGGATAGACATTTAGCAGTTGATTATTTGAGTTATCTTTCATGTGTTATAGGGTGTGGGAAGTAGATAAAGGGCATTTTGGGACCCTGGGCACATCTGCAGCTCCCACTTACTTGCGCTGTCCAGACCCAGGGCTTTCTTCAAGGTGCTGATCAGGGGGTATTTTCCCTGGTTACAGAAAGTCCCAGTGAAGTCATCCAGATCAATGGCCCAGACCATGGCACCTCCAAAGTTATTTTTCTTCAGCCAGTCAGCCTGTGGGGGCAGGACAGGTGTTTGATCCAGGCCCTCCTGGATTCTCCTAAGATTTTTGGGCTCCAAATAGAGATGAATGGACTTATGGGAGCTCAGAGAAATACTCTACCTTAATTTGGAAGCCCTTGGGGTTGTCATAACCAACCCACTCATTACCTTTGTAAGCATAGGGAACGTCCTCAGAAGCTTCCCACACCTGAGTAACACCATTCTTCAGGAAGGGGCAGATCTGAGAAAAGAGAATAGCAGAGAGGTTGAGAAAAGTTTTCAGGAAAGGGGCTGAGTGAAAATGACTTCAAGGAGAGAGCATGTAATCTTATCTGTGAACATTTTACATCAGGATTCTAATTCTTTAACAAATTTTGGATCATTTATTTTCAGTAATTATAAGGAAATTATTGAAAGATGTAGAGAAGGGGGTTTGTCTAGGTTAGGCGTTGTTAACCTGGGATATATCAGAGGGTCCATGAATTTGGAGTAGGAAAAAATTACATTTTTATTTTCATCTACCTTTAACCGGAACTTAGCATTTCCTTCAAGTACTTAAAACATTACTCTGAGAAGAAGCCCATAGACTTCACCAGATTGCCAAAGGCTCGTAGTATAAAAAAGTTAAGAACCCTCTGGTCCAGATAGATGATTTCAAAGATCCCTTCAAAGTGTAACATTCTATGATTCTATACAACTGGGTAAGGTATGGCCTGGCAGTTTTTAGGACTATAAATTTACAAAGATTCCATGATGAATGTTTGCTGTTCTACAGTCTCCTGATGAGAATTTCAGATATTCTGTGTGGCCTGGGTGAGGGTCCATCTAAAAGTCAGATTCTTCTGGCCTTCCAGTGCCCTTCTAAGACACAAAGGAACAACAGGAAGAAGTGTGGTACCATGGAAAGACAGTAAGAGAAGCCAGGTTCACAGCTCGCCTCTGATACTTACTTTCTGTCTGACGTGAAGAATTCACGTGATTCTTAGTTTCCTTATCTCTAAAATGAAGAGGTTGGTCTAATGGCCTCTGGGGTCTCTCCTAGGTCTAGATCTATGATTTTTCCCTCCTAGTTTCTGCTTTGAATTATAGGAAAATGGGACAGAGTAAGAAGGCTAAGCATCACTGGGAATATGCAACCCTTTACATTTCTATTCACAAGCAGAAGAGTCAACAATAGTCTTTCCCCTTTTTTATGCAACTTTTAGACACTTACCTCATAGTAAGCCAAGAAGCCAGCCTCCCTGGTGTAGGTCCCAGCAGGACCAGGGCCAGAGGTAGGGGCACCAATGTCATGTTGAGAAGGATTCCTCAAGATGAAGTTGTGTCCATAAGCTGGGAATCCAACGATGAGCTTCTCAGCTGGGGCGCCATTGTTTTTCCAATAGTTCATAGCATAATCCTGCAAGGGAAGTGCATTTAAACTTGGTCTATCTTTCTGTGCTTGGTTCAAATACCTCTTCTTTCTTAAAGCATTCCCTAATTACTCCCCAGTTAATAACAACTGGGCTATAAGTTTTGGCCTGGCAGGTTTGAGGACATGATTCTGTGATGAATGTTTGCTCTCCTATAGTCTCCAGATGAGAACTTCAGACATTTTTTGTGGCCAGAGTGAGGGTCTGCTAAGAGAAGTTTGTACTTCTCTTAAGCTTGTTATATCGTGTTTTGTATAATAGTTAATTATGTTTAATTAGAATAAATAACCATAATTAATTATAGTTAATTGTATTGTAATGAGTAGAGAAATGTCTTTTCTCTTCTTTAGGGTTGTATGCTCTTTGAGAATCTACCCTCAAAGAAATTTTTAAAATTTATTTTCCTGTCTTCCTCAGCATTCAATCCAATATTTCTCATACAATAGGAATTTAATAAGTGATTGTTGAATAAATGAATGGATGAACGAATATTTATTTCATCCAGGAGTCAGATTCTTAATTATTAGTTTACCGCCCTACCTGACACAGTCAAATTAACAAAGCAGATATGTGAAGTGCTTTGAAGACCTTAAAACACTATATAAACAAAAGTTAGTAGTAGCAGTAGTAGTATTAAATGAGATTTGATTTGTAAAACACTTAGCACAGTGCCTGGCACATTGTAGGCAATGTATAAATGCTTATATATTTGTAGAGCACTTAGCACATCATAGGTGCTGTATAAATCCTTATTCTCTTCCCTTTCTCTAGTTTGGAGGGAGTAAGCATTTATATAGCACCTACTATGTGTCAGGCACTGAGCTAAGAGCTTTACAAATATCATCTCATTTGATCCTCAAATGAGCACCAACCCCTGCAAGGTAGGTGCTGTTATAATCCCCATTTTACAGTAGAGGAAACTGAGGCAAACAGAGGTTAAGTGACTTGCCTAGGTCATACAATGGTTGAGAGTCTGAGGCTGGAGGTCTTCCTGACTCCAGGCCCAGGGCTCTATCTACTGTGTCACCGAGCTGCCTCCAGTAGCAGGAGTCAGGGTGGTGGTCATGGTACTCACAAGCTTGACATCGCATAGTTAATCACTAATGAATTGATCAGTTTCCCCAGCATAACAATTGAATGTCTTTGCTGTGTATTAGAAATGATCAGTTGATTAATTGATCAGAGAGCTGATTGACAGTGCATTTTGTGCCCCAACCTGGTGATTTTCTTCAGTCTTCTTTGGAGTCTACACAGGGGCTTCACTCACCACATTGAGGTAGGCATTGCCACCGGTGTCACTGGGGTTTTTGTACAGGGGGCTGTTCTCTCCAGTGTAGACCTCCCACGAGCCATGGAAGTCATAGGTCATGACGTGGATGAAGTCCAGATACCTAGTGTGGAGAACAGAATTAATGGTGATTTCTGGTGGCTATTTCCTGTACCCTTGCCAGGGACAGCCTCCCATTCAATTCAATTCTGTTTAACAAGTAAGTGCCATTACTATGTACTTTCAGCTGGGGAAATCAGGGAAAGGTCAGGTAATAGATGGTACCAGGGCTGAGCTCTGAAGGAGAGAAAGATTTCAACACATAAGAGAGATAGAGGCATTTCAGGAATGGAGGCAGGACTGTGCAAATGCATGGAAACAGGAAAGTGGGGAACAGCTGGTTGGTTATGTAGTTTGGCTGGAATGTAGGGTAGATAAAGAGAAGGAGTGTGAAATTAGCCTGGAAAAGTAAGTTGGACCCAGGCTCTTGAGGGCTTTAAATCACAAACATAGACATTAATCTCTTTCTTTCTTTTTATTTTTAAGGAAAGTATTTTCTTAACTATCCATGGCAATATTGTAATTCATGATTGTTTTTCTTTTTTTAAATACGATTTTCTTTTCCCTCAATTACATGTAAAAACAATTTTAACATTTATTTTTTTTTTTAAATTTTGATTTCTAAATTCTCTCCTTCCCTCCCCTTCCCTCTCCCTGAGATGATAAGCAATTTCATATTGGTTGGACATGTGCAATCATGCAAAACATATTTCCATATTAGTCATGTTGCAAAAGAAAACACAGACAAAAAAGAACCCATGATAAAATACAGAAAGTGGTCATTCATGATTAATTAACATTTCCTTGCTTCCCACCTATTAGGAATTCAGAAGTAATAATGAACCCTCTCTTTTTCAGCTCCTCCACAGACTGATAAATATTGCAAGAGGGAGCAGCGAGGGGTTGGCCCACTGACTGGTCTGAGGAGGCAGCTTTCCATTCGCAGGATTAGACCCTATGGATTCTAACTTTATCAGCCCCTTGTAAATGAAGAGAACCCACCAAGAGCTGTAGTATGCACAGAATGCAGAAGGTTCTTTGGGTATTCTATCATGAGTAGAGGACAAGGAGTGGTCAGAGGGCAGGTGAAAGATGCATGCAGATATTTCATTCTCTTCCTGTTGCTTTTCTCTCTCCTTTGGCAGGTGGATTAGAGAGCATGGAACCTCAGAGAGTGGCCAGGGGAGTCAGGAGCCACTATCCTCCAGCCCCCTGGGAGGCTGGGTGACTTTGTAACAGGCAGATCAACAGGGCCTAGGTCATTCTGTACTTTTCATGGGAATGTGTGTCTGTGTCTTTAGAGTTATTGCTAAAAATTGTATTTTCAATTTGTGAGTCATTTTGGGTTGGATTTGTAAATCTCTATTGAGCTAAGAATTTTGCTAAAATCTCATGTCCTTGCAAGTCCTTAGGAAATACCCTTTCCCCTCTCTCTGGAGTAGATATCCTTGCTTCCTGACTAGAGTTTGACTAAGTAGGGTTTTCTGTTAGTCATTTGTTTGAAAAGTTCGAAGGTCTGCTGACCAGAAAGTGGAACTAGCTACACTCCCAACTTTCTTCCAAAGTTATTGAGCAGAAGAGTGACACGTATAGATATGATGTGAGGAAAGATAAGGGATGGATTGGAGGCAGGGAGGTCCTTTAGGAGGCTATTATCACAGTCTAGACTAGGGTGGAGGCTAAGTGAGTGGAAAGGTGAGGATAGAGAAAGATTGCTGAGATAAAAATGCCAAGACTTGGAAAATGATTAGATGTGAAAGATGAGGGAGAGAGAAGAGTCAGAAAAAAATCTAAGCTTTATGAAGCTGAGGGCAAATGGATCGCAGCGAATGGAAGAGGATAGTGATGCTATGGGTAGAAAGAAGGAAGTTGGGAAGGTATGTAGGTTTTGGGGGAAAGATTATGTGCTTAATTTTGGTATTGAAGGGAATTTGACATGAAGGACTGAAAATCAAAGGGAATATTGGGGTTGGCTAGATAAACTGGAGAATTATGTGTGTAGAGGTAATAATTCAATATTAGGGAATGGATGAGATAGAAGAATAAAGAAAGAAAAGAGTCAAGGATTGATCCTTGAAGGACACATTCACTTAAGGGGTAGGAAGATGAGGATGAACTAACAAATAAGACAGAGTAGGCAAAGAGATAGCGAGAAAACCAGGAGATTTAAAAGACCAAGGGAGGGAAGAATAATAGGAAGGAGGGAGTGGTTAACAGCATCAAATACTTAGAAATGCTGAAGATCAATGAATCAATAAGCATTTATTAAATAGATCCGCTATGCTAAGCACAGTACTAGGTACAGGGGGCACTGGGGATAGTAAAAAGACCATTGAAGTTAGCAATCGAGAGGTCATTGCTAATTTTGAAGATAAATTTCACTGGAGGTATAGAAGCAAAGGACAGATTTGAAGGAGCTGTGGGATAAGTAAGAAAATGAGAACCTTTCCTGGAGCCTTCTGAGAAGTAAGACAGACCTGCCAATTGGCTGTCCCAACACAAGTGACAGCTGACCCCCAGAGAGACACTTGGAAGACCAACCGCAGTACTCACCGAGAGAGCTGGGGGATGTCGTAGCCAGACTGGATGGTGGAGACGCCAGCAGCCACAGCAGCAGTGACCAGCAGTCTGGGGCTGTTGGTCTGCTTGGCTTCCTGCTCAAAGGCTTCATGTGTTTCCTGTGGGTGAGCGGAAGAGGGCAAGTGGACAGCAGCCCAAAGTTAGACTTCTCTGGCTTCTCTCTGTACTCGACTTGGCACTTCCATTGATGATTCATTCATATGCATCACCAATTTAATTAGGTTCATAGGATTGTGGGAACATAGATCTCTCCCTGGCTCCCGGCATGATGCCTGGCACGTAGTAATCTCTTCAGAAATATTTGTTGCTCAATTGATTTCAAAGGACCTCAGAGATCATCAAGCATTTATTCAATCTCAGGCACCAGGGATAAAAAACCCAAAATGAAACAATGCCTGACCTCAGGAAGCTTACATTTTATTGGAAAGGGGGATTGTGGTGGAGGGAAGAACATATACATAGTTAAATATAAAATGCATACAAGATAAATACAGTAATTTGGTGAGTGCAAAGCACTAACAATTGAGGAAATCATGAAAGGCTTCTTGGAAGTGTTGGTAAGTGAGTCAGAACTTTAAGGGAGCCAGGGCTTCCATGATGCTGAGATGAAGAGGGAGACTGTTCCAGGCATGGGGCACAGGCTACACCACAGTTTAGAGATGGGAGATGGAATATCATGAGTGGGATAGTGAATTAATTAGGGATGTATAAAAGGCTTGCTTAGCAGCAGTGAGGGCTTGGTTGAGATCAGGCAACAAAAATTTGTAATGGACTCAGTCATAACAGCTATATGATTTTCTCTGCCTTTGTTCAATGGTACATATATATAGTGAAGGCAGTGATGATGGCAAGACTGAGACTTGGCAGGGCACAATTGGCAATATGGCACAGGGTCAAGGGACTCAAGAGAAGAGGACAGTATAGAGTTGAACTGACTCCAAAGAATCTAGATGGGGAAAAGAGGAGACAATGCCTAATGCAGGGGTGATGGTCTGGGAGAGAACTGAGGAGCTGAGGGATTGGAGGTCATGGTGTCGATGAAGAGCAGAGTTTGATATTCAAAGGCAGAGGGAGAGGGGGAACGTCATTAGATTGTGACCGGACAAGGGCATTTCAGAATTAATGAACATGGAGGTGGGACATTTGTAAGTGATGGCAGGATCAAGGGTATGATTAGCTCTCTGTGTGGCTGAGGTGCAGTGAAGGACTAAGTCATGGGAAATGAGCACATTGAAGAACTGGGATGTTAGGATATTGCGTGAAGTTGAAGTATGCATATTGAAGCCGCATAGAATGAGGGCCAAAGTTGGGGAGGAGAAAAGATTGTGAGCAAGGCACTTAATTCATTGAGGAAAGACAGGAAGTGTCTGAGAAGTAGGTAGCCAACAGTCACCTGAATCTTGATTGGATGATAAATATAGATTGAGTGAACCTCAAAGGAGGAAAGGGTACTGATTGCTGGTGGTAGAGAGAGAAGCTAGAAGTGGCAATGGGAAGCAATGAGTATTCCAGCTCCCACACTAGTGAATTGGGGGGAATGAGCAAAGGCACAGCCAGTGCTGGAAAGGCGGCCATAGAGGTTGTGTCATCAGGAGAGAACGAGGGCTCTGTGTGAGTCAGATGGTGGAAGGAGTAGGAAGAGAAGTCACATTGGGATGTGTCCAGCTCACCTTGACCAAGACAGTGAAGAGGTTCTTGTCCTGAGGAGGGCTGCCTCGAGACCCAGGGTACTCCCAGTCATAATCCAGGCCATCAAACCCATACTGGCGCAGGAATTTGATCACTTATTTGATGAAGGTCTGGCGGTTCTGATAAGTGGAAACCATGGTGGTGAATTTGAAGGAGACAGAAAGAAGCTAGAATAAGGAAATTCATGTGCAGATTGCACCAATCTGTGTACTTCCTCACCTTTCTGGGTGACTAGTAAAGCTCTGCTGATAAAACAGTTTAGACTGTGCCCATCTCCAGTTCACACTTTGTTTATTTGCTAGGCAATGGGGTTAAGTGGATTGCCCAGGGTCACATAGCTAGTAAGTACCTGAGGCTAGATTTGAACTTAGGACCTCCTAACTTCAGAGCCAGTGTTCTATCCACTTTGCCACCTAGCTGCCCCAGGATCCATTTCTTTAACAGATCCTTGTATGTCACAGTCTAGGAGTCCCTTCTCCAACCTGGTTGCCCTCTTTTGTATGTGCTCCAGAGTGTCATGTCCGTCCCTAAATGTGAATTGTATTGCTAAGCACTGTGTCCCAGCTGTGGTCTAAGCCAGGCAGAGTCCTTTTTGTTCTTCAATCATTGTAGAATATCAGAGCTGGAAGAGATCTCAGAGATCAAAGAGTCTAACACTTCCATTTTTCAGGAGAAGAAGCTCGAAATTTAGAAAGGGTGAGTTTTTTCCAGGTCACATTGCTGGTTAGTGTCAGAGCTGAGAATAGGACCCAGTTTCCCATCTCTTAGGTCTGTTAAAAATCTACTGGAATGAAGCCCAAGGAAGAATGCCCTTGTTTCAGACAATTTCTGCTCTAGTTACTTATTTTGTGTGTGTGTCTTTTAATCTTGGCCTTTTTGCTTCTCAGTTATGGTTTCTGTCTTATACTGTCAGATTCCTCAGGGCAGGGGAAAATCTGATCTAGGCTCTCTGCAAAGCACCTCCCTACTTAAGGAGAAGCTCAGAAGTCCTTTGGATTTCAGTTCTGATACTGGACTTACAGGGCAGTTCCAAAGTTCCAGCCTCCAATGGCCAGGAGAGTTTTCAGTTTTCTGTTCCTACAGAGAGAACAAAAAGGGAATGTTAAAAACTCCTTGCACTTGATAGTTTCTCATAGTCAGAGAGATTGGTTGGGTAGCTCGACAGGACGGTCCCTGAAGCAGGTCTGATGAGCTGCCAGAGGGCTTTTGGGGCTTGTCTTCTCCACTTATTTACACGTTCCTCATGGCGTGAAACGGTCAGTGAGTGTTCTCTGGCCTTTTGGGACCAAGACTACAGTGTGCTTATTCTTGAAACAGAAGGTACCGTCAGCATCTTGTTGCTTACCTGCCATGTACCTACTTTACAAACATAGCTGCCTCATTAGCAGAGGGTATGTAGCCTCTGTTCCGTCAGAGGAAATTGCAGATCTTAGTGTGAGAAGGAACTTCCACGGTTAATGGGGAATTTCTAGACGAATGGGGAATGGAATGGAATGGAAGGGAAGGGAATAGGGAAGGGAATAGGCATCTATTAAGACCTTCTATGTGCCAGGTCCTGTGCTAAATGCTTTATAGTTATTATCTCATTTGATTCTCATGACAACCCAGTGAGGTACATTCTGTTATCCTCATTTTACAGTTGAGGCAACTGAGGCAGACAGAGGTCAATTGACTTGGCCAAGGTCATACAGGTACAAAGTGTCTGAGGCTAGATTTGAACTCAGATCTTCCTGACTCCAGATAGAGTTCTCTAACCACTGGGCAACCAGCCTCTTTTTCCTCCTCCTTACTTGTTTTTCAAACCATTGAAGGATTTCACATCATTCCATTCGATTGTGGTGATCTCATTGTTACTCATTCTAGCAAAAGCATAGATCAAGTGAGTACAGAGGCAGGGGTCAATGTTATCCGGCGTGAATCTCCCCAGGCCTGGCCTGTACTGGGCCCAGTTGCTGAAGTAGCATGTCAGATGGTAGGCGGAGCCTGTTGGCATCAAGGAGCAAATGTCATGATGAGGGACAGCAGCAGAGCCTGCTCATTCATTCAATAAGCATTTATTAAGAACCTACTATGTTCCAGACACAGGCAATACAATGACAAAAATGAAATAATCCCTGCCCTCAAGAAACTTACATTCTACTGGGGGAAACAACATATACACAGGAAAATAGAAGGTATTGTATTATATAGAATTATGTAGCATAATTCTATATAGTTATGTAGTATAATTATGAATAAGGTATTATATTTATATATTATAAGGTAATATAAATGTGAACTTGATATAAAGTAATTTCGGGGGTAGAGGAGGGCACTAATACATGGGGGTATGAGAGTAGAGGGCTGTCAGTTATCCTTCAGGAGGTGGCACCTAGGTGGAGTTTATAATAATAGCAATAATAATAAGTAGCATTTACAGAACACTTGTAAAACATTTTTTATGTATGTTATTCATACGCTCCTCACAACAACCCTGTGAAGTTGATACAGTTATGATCCCTATTTACAGATGGGAAAAATGAGGCAGAAAGAGTTTAAGTGACTTGTCCAGGGTCATACAGTTAGGAAGTGTCTTAGGTGGGTATTGAACTCAGTCATTTATTTTCTTTTGTGTGTGTGTGTGTGGGAAATCGGGGTTAAGTGACTTGTCCAGGGTCACATAGGAAGTGTCAAGTGTCTGGTCAGAGTCCGGATATGAACTCAGGTTCTCCTGACTCCAGGGCTGGTGCTCTATCCACTGCGCACCTAGCCGCCTCTGAACTCAGTCATTTCTGACTCAAAGCCCAGTGTTTTATAGGCTAATGGAATGTCCAGGAGGATCACAGATAGTTCTTAATGATCTGGTGGAGGGCAGTGGTTTGGGGGAGAATCCCAAACAACATTTTATCCAAAAGTCATTTCCACCTGACTGTGGGATTTGTTAGTAGAGTGACTACTCTGAATCCAGTTAGCTCCAGCTACTAAAATAAATTGGCTTTCTCTGAGCTCCTAGAATGACCTATATACTGTACAAAGAAATGATCTGCACTGCATAATAGCTAGGAACAGCTTTGAGGCATCGTAGCTCATGGAGTACAGGACCTGCAGTAAGCAAGACCTGAGTGCAAATGTCCTTATTAGCTGTATGTCCCTGAGCAAGTCACTTAACCCTGTTTGCCTCAGTTCTTCATCTGTAAAATGAGCTGGAGAAGGAAATGGCAAACCTCTCCAGGGTCTTTGCCAAGAAAAGCCCAAATGAGATTACAAAGAGTTGGATACAACTGAAATGATAGAAAAACAACAGTAATAGCTACTAATTACAAAGTGCCTACTAAGTGCCAGGCATTACACAAATGTTATCTTATTTGATTCTTACAAGTACCCTGGGAGGCAGGTGATATTATTATGCTTTTATTACATTTCACAATTGAATAAACTGAGACAGACGCTGAGTGACTTGCTCAGGATCCCACAGGTAATAAATGTCTGAAGCAGAATTTGAACTCAGGTCTTCCTGAATGCAGGCCCAGTACTCTATCCACTGTACCAACTAGCTGCTGTTTGGATATTTAAGAATTGGCTAGGTCTATGAGGACCTTATAAAAACAAGTGTGTATGTGTAGGGTGAGGAGAGAGGAAGCAGGAGCCTGTGACTTACCAAGCTGAGCAAGCAGCACCAGGGCCAGACCTAGGGAAGAAAAAAAAAATTAACAAAGATTTATTAAGTATCTAATACACACCAGACCTTCTACTAGGTAGGTTCTGAGGAGACAACAGAAATTGCATAGTCCCTGCCATTAAGGAGCTTATATTCTCTCAGGGAAAGATCTATGTGTCTCTAATTGTTTTCATGCCCTCAGTCTTGTGAGTACTTGGGGTCCAACTTATCTCAGACATAGTGTTTTAAGTGGGTTTTCAGGGAAGCTAAGAATGTTATGGACTGAAAGATGAAACCAAAATTAATGCACACAGAAGTCAAGGTGGTGACATCTCACTCATGCAGATGTTCCCACTCTGTAGGCTGCTTGCCCAGAGAATCACAGAATTCCAAAGAAGAGAGGGACCTGAGGTCATCAGGCCTAACCCATATAGGAATTCTCTCTGTAAGGTCCCTGACAAATGGTCATCCAGCTTTTGAGGGAGGTTCCCAGGAAAGAAGAGCCTACTATTTCAGCTAGATGGATGAATGGATAGAGTGTTGGCCTTGGAGTCAGGAAGGCTCGAGTTCAAATTCTGCTTCAGATATATAAGAGCTCTGTGACCCTAGGTTAGTCACTTACCCTCTAAGTTTGCTCATTGGTAAAATGGGGAAGGACTGGACAAATTGTAGTATATGATTGTGATGGAATACTAATGTGCTAGAAGAAATAATGAGCAGGATGCTTTCAGAAAAACCTGAAAAGACTTGTATGAACTGATGCGAAGTGAAGTCAGCAGAACCAGGAGAACATTGTGCCCAGTCACAGCGATATCGTATGATGATCAACTGTGAATGACTTAGCTATTCTCAGCAACACAATGATCCAAGACAGAGTTGTTGTGAGGATCAAAGGAAATAGCACAGATAAAGTACTTTACCAACTAGAAATGCTTTGTTGTTGTTGTTACTAAGGCAGTCCTTTCCGCTTTTGGACAGCTCTAAATGTAACTCACATTGAACCAAAATCCACCTCTCTGACATTTCTACCCATAGCCTCTAGTTCTGACCTCTGGAGCCAACTTGGATAAGGTTAGTCCCTCTTGTCCAAAACATTTATGTAACTAAAGACTGCTCTCATGTCTCCTTCCTTGGGCAGAGGAGAGCAGGGACATCCCCTCCAAGCTTCTGGATTCCAGGTCTCACTTAATGAAGTTTAAGATTCCACCTTCCCATGTCAGAGCCAGACTCTTTAAGAGGCCAGAGGGCAGATTGGGGGCCAGAAGGATGTTGTCTAGGGTTCCCAGAACACACAGAGGCTCTATCTGCAGAATCATCCTTTCCTTCTACCCATCATCTGCCTTGGGTTGCACCAGTCATTCACCTGATTCGAATCGGATCCTATTTGTTTGAGGACAATGTGCTGAATGGAGTCTTTCAAGGGATGGCTGGAACAGTGAAAATTCTATGGTGCATGCAACCAAATGAGTGAGAAGAAAATGTCATGGAGAATTAATTTGAAAAAACAAGTAGTGTGTATGCATGTGTGTGTGTGTGTGTGTGTGTGTGTGTACACAGTTGCCTTGTTCTCTCTGTCCTGCTTTCACTACAACAAAGGTTGCTGCATAGCTGAGCAAATGAATCATCCTGGACCCTTCTCCACTACGCAGACTTTCACTTTTCAGCTTTCCTTTTCTTCCCCTAGCTGCTGTAATTGATTTAGTAAATAAGAGAAACCAAGAAGAAAGACCAAGGGTGGTAACTGGAGAAATAGGAACAACCTAACATGGAGGTAAAGAGGGAGGTGGGAAGTGGGGTCAACAAAAAGTCAGCCCTGGATATGGCCATGTCAACATCAGGAACAGAGAGAAGAGGTGTTGAGTTAATTCCAGGAAGTCATGGGAGCAAGAAAACCAGAGGTTGGATGGGGAGGCCATTGCAGGAGCTCAGATGTCATCGAATTCATTTCAACACAACAAGCATTTATCAACTGTGTACAATAACTCCTCCAAGACAGGGATGATTTCATTTTTGTCTCTGTGCCATTGTCTAGCACAATGCTTGGCACAACGTTAGGTGCCTAGGAAATGCTTGCTGGTAGTTTGATCGTAAGACAATGGGGACACAGAGAAAAATGAAGCAGACACTGCCCTTGAGGAGCTTATGTTGTAGAACAGAGGTTCGTAACATTCTTGTGTCATGGACCCCTTTGGAAGTCTGGTGATACTCATGGGCCCTTCCACAAAATAATTTTTTAAAGACTAAAAAAATTCACAAGATTATAAAGGAAATAAATTATATTGAAATATAGTTATGTATAACACAATATAGCATATAACACATGTGTTATCTGTGAATATATGGATACATGTCAATTAAAAATTATATTGAAAACCAGCTAATGATATTGAAAAATAGTTATATATTACACATATATAACATAGAACACACATGTGTAAGTGTATATATCAATTATCGAGTATATTGAGATTAATTATATTGAAATAGGTTTATGTATGACACCTAAAGCATATAACATATATTTATGTATATGTAGGTATGTATGTGTGTATGTACACACACATATATATCTCTAGTTTATGGACTCCAGGTTAAGAATCTCTACCCCTTACATTTTGCTGGTAAGGAAACTGACGTCCAGGAGTTGCTTATGTAAGGCAGGTTTTGAAAGTATCAGAGGTGGAATGGAAGAAAATAAAGTATAATGAGGTTAAAATAGATAGGAACGCAGAACATGGGGCTTGGACACAGGAAGAAATGGGTCCAGATGCCCCCTCAGACAATTACTAGATGGGTGACCCTTGGGCGAGTCATTTAACCAATCTGTCCTTCAGTTTCCTCATTTGTAAAAAAAAAAGGATTAGATCTGATGGGCTCTAAGATCTCTTTCTAGCTCTAAATCTCTGAGCCTGTTATCATACATAGTGATTCTTTACAAAGGACCCAGAAAGAAAAGGGAAGGAAGAAAGGCACCAGGGATTGAGTTTCCCCTTAGAGCATTGACTCACCAGTGAGGAGGATGAGCTTTGCCATGGCTGCCATCTCTTCTGGTCTAGCAAGGGTTGGTTTCCAACTTTTATACCGTCTGACCCAAGTCTTATCAGGAGGGCTCCAAAGTAGGGGGGCATTTAACCCGAAAGGTCATATAGCTAATCAGTAGATCAACAGACCTCCCCACAACTCCACATAATAAAGGGAATACAATGAAGTGGCCCCTTCAAAGGACAATCATGATGGTGCCATGGAAGGAGCAGCTTAATAGCTCTTTGGGCAGTTTCCAGAGCTGATAAACTTTTGGAGAAGGAGTCCAGCTGGGTTCTGTGCTGTGGACATTATGTGCCTGGAATAAAAGCATGTTTGCCTCCACATAGAAGCAACCACTACCTTGGAAAGTAGTCATTATCTTAACAAATGATTTCTCTGTGTGTAATTATTTAACCTCAAGTGTTCTAGTTGAAGGTCAAAGGAGTCCTCTCTCTTCTACAGGCTGACTCCATTACTTTGTTTTTTTAAAATTTTTTGATTTTTTTAGTCAATTGGGATTAAATGACTTGCCCAGGGTCACACAGGTAGTAATCCATTACTTTCTAAGCACTATTACACTGTTACTAAGCATTATACATCTATTCTTTGGAATAACTTCAAGTCATAATTTTTGTGATAAAGCTATCTAGAGATCTCTGGTTTTCAAAGTGGGGGTCATGAGGGTCCCCGAGTGTACTATAGTTTAGCACAGAATCTATTTTCATTAAATGATGGTTGATAATGATGGAAATAATCTCTCCTTCTGTCAATATTTACAATATAATGAAATTACTGTAATGCCTGGTAAGAATTTCAGCCCAACTGGCCTGCTTGATCTCTTGTTACTTCCCTTAACATAGACCAGGGAGGCCAGGACTTTGTCCCAAGGTACCAAAATTTAGAGAGTACTTGTATTCTTTCAATAGACAGAAGCAACTGATTATGCAGTTTTGTAGATGATGTATATAAAACACGTAACACACATATAACACACTTAGCAAAAATGATGAGTTAAACTAGGAAGCTAATAGATGGTACTACCTCCTCCCTTCTTCCAAAGCTACTTCCCTGCTAAGTCCTTATCAATAACACAGTGGCTGATATTGCTTTTTGGGTTCCTTGCCCCCAGTCCATTCTGTGACCTTTACCCTAGATGCCAGAATTGCTAGTCAAAATCTGTTCTCTGCTCAGTAAAAATGATTCCCCAAACACATTTTGCCCTTTCCCACCTCCATACCTTTGCTCATGCTTTCCCCCTTGCCTCAAATGCCCTCTTTTACTTCTCTCTACCTGTTTAAATACTACCTCTTCTTCAAGACACAGTACAGATCCACTTTCCTAGCTCTTATTCTTTGTACTGCTCATTTGGAATTGCCTAGTGGCATAAGATCCTTTTCCCCATCATGTAATGTCTAGTCTGGCCAGATGATCCCAACAGGGCTTCATAGGATGACTGCATCTAAATGGCGTCCCACAGTTGTAGCATGTGGGCTCAGGATTATGATCCTTGTGGGCATGGACTGTGTTTTTATTTTTTTTATCCCCACCCCTTGACACAGTGCCTGGCACAGAGTAAATACTTAATAAATTTTCACTGACTGACTTCCTTTCTAGGGTTTGGGAATTTGGTCATACTCATGATCAATTTCACAAGACATAGGTCTATGAGCCACGGTGGCAATTTATTGGGAGATAACCCTGGCAGCAAAATGTCAATCATTTTCATCGGTCAATTTAATGGACCTTGGAGCCTCTTGGAGTCTGGGTCCCTGTAAAGCCAGGGGAGACTGCCCCTCCAGGAGTAGGGTTTTTCAGAAGGCTCAAGCTACTTGTTAAAGAGCCATCCTTCATAGGAATACCCCATAGGAAACTATTTCTTCCTTAAATATTCTTAATTTTAAATAATTTTTATAATTTTTTGGCAATTGGGATTAAGTGACTAGCCCAAGTTCACACATCTAGTAAGGGTCAAGTGTTTGGTCTGACGCCGGATTCAAACACAGGTCCTCCTGGCTAGAGGGCCAGTGCTCTATCCACTGCACCACCTAGCTGCTCCTTC